GTAAAGGGAAGCTGCTCCCACCTGGCAGGGCCGTGTAGGGTCGACACTAGACCCGGCCAGGTTGTTTGAGTGCATGTTTATGGTGGCGAGACACAAGGTGGGACTTCGTGATGCAATTTGAGAGAGGCGACAGTGAAGGGCACCTACAACTTGAATCTGGACTTCAAGGAAGACGAGGAGTGACTTTAGGGCTCCCCTCAAGTAGGCGAGCTTGAGGGAGGCAGCCATATCTGCACCTATGGACTGCAAGTTGCTGCTTTGATCTTCAACATCGACGGGGGATCCGACTTTGTACTTTGGGGTAGATGTTGACCCTCCTAGATGATAGGACACTAGTGTAGAGGATGCTAATTGGGTCAGGAGGACTATGTGAGAGGGGGATGAGTTCTTTTCATCTCAAGAGCCCGACCACTCAGGTAAGTGTCGTGCCACCAGGGTGCCCATGTGTGTGTGCATGGAATTGACTGCCTGTTGGGGTTCTCTAGGTTCTTCTTCCATCCTCCATAGTCTTGATTGTGTGTGAGGTGTGTGAACTGCCTACTACCTGACAAGTGAATGAATGGAGTACATGTGATATCTCTCTACAATGCTTTGTTTATTTCATTCTGAACGGTTGTAGTCTACAGGGGCAAAATTTCGTTTTTCAATTCGGTAGGGACAGAGTAGGTCTCTGTGGAACTCTTGTTGGTTGGGACCCGGTTTTGACTCCTCTGGGACCATTTGGGACTTAGTGGGACCGGGCCCAAACAAGAAGGGCCCCTCAGGCCAAATCTGTTGACGTCAGTTACCTTGCTCTATCTGATTGGGACTTGGACTTAATGCTTTCGGACCAGGACACTCGCTGCGGAGGGGATCTTCGCTGGGACGTTTTATCAGACTTTACCGCACGATCCGCCGCCTGACTCGCACCTTGGACACCACTCAATTCTCTCTTGCATTTCGTTGTACATCTTGAATCTGATTTGTTGTGTTTTCACGGAGCTGAGGCTGGCTAGGCTTGGGAGGACCCCACACGTAGTCAGTCCAGACTGTGTGGCTGGATCAGATCTCTCTGATCTTTTTTTTTTTTTTTTTTTTGATGACTGCTCTCTTGTCCAAATGAATTGTCGCTCCGGCTAGGAGTTCTACCTTCTCTTCTGACTGATTTCAAGTTGTTTCTTCCATTGGGTTCTTTAATGTCTGCGTCTACACGATCGCAAAGGAGAGAGAGAGAAAGAAGAGAGAAGCTATCGAGTGTTGCTCTTGAGGGAGTGACGAGAGGGAAGAGGAGCATTCGTCACAAAGCTGAGAGGAAGTACGGACCCCTCTTGAGAGTCTTACTGACACCCTCATCCCCCATCATGGCGTCTGCAGCAGACTGGAAGCTGCAGATGGACGCTGCCCCTGAGACAGAAAAACCGCAGTATCAGTTTTTCTACGAGAAAGCTTTGAAGAGGGAGGAGGAAGAGAAAGATAGAGAGAGAAGGGATAAGGTGCAGGCTCATGAGGCCGTCTTTAGCACCGTGTCCGCTCTGACTGATGAGGAGGTAGAAGAGAAAACGGTTACCCTCCTCAGATCCTTGGTGGAGGTCCGGGTTGCTGAGGACCATACTGGCCAATTCGCACAGGTGTTTAAGCAGCTCAAGGAGTTGCGCGAAGACACGGCCAAAATGGTGCAGCGGCACCGTGACCAGCTGCAACAATTTGCTAGTTCGCAGCAGGCTCAGGTTGTCTCTCCACTCACCTACCCTGCTTCCAACGCTGCGTGTCAGTCCAGTTTTGCCCCTCTGACTATGTCTACTTCTTCACCTTCTACTTCTTCTTCTTCTTTGAGTGTGGGTAACAGCCAAAGCGGATCTGCAGCAAGTCCAGACCCCGCTGATGCTGCTGCTGCTGCAGCGGCAAGTGGTTGTGTAGGGAATTCTGGAACTGTTGCAGTCCCGAGTCCGGACCCAGCAATGGCTGGGCCAAGCGACACTTTGCTTACATCGACAGGAAGGCGGCGCAGATTCCGTCCAAGTATGACAGAAAGGACGACATCGAGTCTTGGATCAGCTCCATGCAATCCTACTTTGATGTTTTGGGGACACCCCCGTCAACCTAGTCGTCTATCCTAGGGACTAATGTGGAGCCCGTCGTGAGAGGTTTCCTGGAAACCCAAGCTGTCCAATCAGGCTATAAGAGAATAGACCTGAACAAATGGCTGAAGGCCACGTCTACCACCACACTCGAGGACCTCTTGATCAAACAGTATGCTGATCCACATGCTGCAGCTAAAGCAAGACTCAAGCTTGACAAGCTCAAGCACAACAAGTGGACTGGCACCATGCACAACCTGCAGCAGTATGTTAGTAAACTCTTTGCTACTCCGGATCTGGAGATGACTGCGCAGTCTTGTTTGGATGTGATAAAAGGTACGGTCCCCTCTACTCTAAAAGATCGCCTAGAGCTCGGGCTCAGCGGATATACAGATTGGCTTCCCGGGTGGATCAAGTGGCAAAAAGGCCACCAGCCACAAACGGTTTCCAGGCAGCAACCGTTTTGCAGCACACGATCTGCATAAGGCTGACGAGGAGACCCTCGTGGATGAATCTTCTCTTGATGACGATCAAGAGCAAGACTGCGGGGCATCTTGCTCTTTGTCAGCCCATGAGTCCGAGTATGTAAATGACGAAGAATCTATGAATGCCTCTAAAAAGACTGCCTTTAAAAGTAAGGGACCGAGGACCACGATGAAGAACAACACTAACACTATCCTTCTTCCCAAGGGAGCGAAGATTCCACCCAAACCGGAAGATCCTGCCACAAAACCATGGGTAGATCTCCGGATCAGTGAAAGTGAGTGGAAACACCGGGTGAAGAAAGGGGTTTGCCTGCATTGCACCAAGCCGGGACATTCGGTCCAACAATGTTTCAGATTGCATCAGGGAAACCAGCAACGGGGGTAGAGGCATCATCAGCACACTCTACAGATGGAGAGGCGGAACATGTAAGTACATATCCTTCTTTGGATTTTGATCCCACTCAGCAAACCTCTCCTGAAACCCCATCTGATGCAGATTCCAAGGCTGAGAAGATTCACATCCTTTACAAGGAGCCTTGGGTAGAGTCGGAAGAAAGTGACTTCCATGCTTTGTTGACGCGCTGGGCTCATATGAAGCAAGAACGCGCGCAAGGGAGAACGAAGTTAATCTTCTTCAAACTCTACATTAATGGCCGTTACATCCGTGCTTGGCTGATTGTGGTGCAACCGCCAACTACTTCTCACCGCACGACATTCGTAAGGCACGCTTGGGGATGAAGCAAGTGACCTTGCAGAATCCTTGCTGGGCCCAAGTGGGCAATGAGGTTGTTATATCTACGCATGCAGTCAAAGGTGTGTGCACTACCTTTGACGCTGAGCGCACTATCACCCATAAGTTGAACTTCTATGTCCTTGATCAGTGCCCCTTCGTCGCGGTTATTGGCTTGGGCTGGTTGCAGGCCCAATGTGAAAGAACCACGTGGAAGGACTCACAATTCATGGTCAAAGATGCCATGGGAATCGAGCGTCCAGTCCTCTTGGATGAGCCACACGAGTCCCAAGTAACTTTTCTCAATGCAATGCAATTCTGCAAAAAGTGGCACGGGCGCAAAGTTGATGAGCAAATGTATATAGCCTTTGTTAGGCGTGTTCATGTGCCTTCTATTTTTGTTGTACATAACAATTCTACCTTGCATGTTGTTTCTACTTCTGATGCAACTACCTCTACCGCTACTCAATCCATCTCTAGTCCAAATGACTCTATTTCTAATCCTGTTGTATTGGCTGCACCTATGACATCCGATATGCTTGCTCCTGAGAGTGATGATCCCCCTCCGGAAGTTTCGCCGGAAATTCACAACCTTCTCAACCGATTTCCTGAAGTCTTGGCCGAACCGCATGGAGTTCCCGTGCGTCCGGTCCGACACAAGATCGAGTTGATTGAAGGTAGTACTCCTCCAAAAGGTTGTCTATCGAATGGGCTCAGGCGAATTGGAGGAGTTGCGACGGCAGATTGATGATATGATTGGGAAGGGATGGATCAAACCCAGTGAGTCTGAGTTTGGTGCACTGGTTCTGTTTGTCCCTAAGAAAGGAGGCAAATTGCGGATGTGTATTGATTACCGCGGATTGAATCGGATCACAAGAAAGAATGCATATCCTTTGCCACGTATCGATGATTTGCTTGATGCTGCAGGTGGGTGCAAAGTCTTCAGCAAGATCGATCTCAAGTCTGGCTACCACCAGATTGAAGTCGATCCTGCAGACCAGCACAAAACCGCATTCAAAACTCGCGATGGGCTGTACGAGTTTACCGTCATGCCCTTCACCCTCACGAATGCACCAGCCACCTTTCAAAGTCTCATGGACAAAGTGTTCCGCCATCAGATTAACCGGTTTGTTGTTGTTTATCTGGATGACATACTCATATTCAGCAAATCGATGAGGAGCACATGAGACATCTTGAGGAAGTGTTGCACGTCCTCAAGGAAGCGCAGCTCCATCTCAACTTGGAGAAATCTGAGTTTGGGAGGGATAGCGTCATCTACCTTGGGCACCGGTTGTCGGCTGCAGGTCTAGAGCCTGAGGCAACAAAGGTTGAGTTCATCCGCAATTGGCCTCAACCGACGAATGTCCGCGAGTTGTGTTCTTTTCTTGGTCTTGCGTCATACTACCGTAAGTTTGTGCCTAAATTTTCTATCATCGCCCGTCCGTTGTCCAGATTGACCAGCAAGAATGTGTCCTATACATATGATGGGGAATGCACGACAGCCTTGCAAGCACTAAAGGAGGCTTTGGTGAGTCATCCAGTGCTCCGCATTGCAGATCCCAAAGTCACATTCGTAGTAACTACGGATGCCAGTTTGTATGGGATTGGTGCAGTTCTGCAACAAGATGACGGCGACGGCCTACGTCCGCTAGAATTTTACAGCAAACGTATGCCCAGTCACAAGGTAGCTGCCTCCACTTACATGCGAGAACTCTATGCCTTGAGAGAGGCACTAGACCACTGGAAGCACTACCTGTTGGGTCGCCATTTCAAAGTGTTCTCAGACCACGAGACCTTGAAATGGGTTCAGACACAGAACAATCCCTCGACTACACTGACCCGGTGGCTGCATGAGTTTGTTGTGTATGATTTTGAAATTAAGCACAAGAAAGGTTGTTATAATCGAGTTGCGGATGCTTTGTCGCGCCACCCTGAGTACATGACTTGCCTTGTGGGTTCCGACGACCTGCGTAAAAATCTGAAGGAGGAACTCATACAGCATACTGCCAAGGATCCGGAACTCAGTCCCATCCTTAAGCAGATTCGGGTTTACCCTAGCAGTCAGCCTGATTTCCATGAATGTAAGGGCCTTCTCTTCCGACGTTACGGGAAGCATGACCGATTGTGTGTGCCCAACCATGAGCCGATCATGACTAACTTCTTGGATTTGGCTCATGGCCGGAGTGGACACTTCGGTGTTGAGAAAACATACGGAAATCTGTTGGAAAAGTTTATGTGGCCTGGAATGAAAAGAATGACACAAAGGTTTGTGGCTGAGTGTGAAGTTTGTCAGCGCATCAAGTCGTCTCGACAGAAGCCCTATGGGCTGCTGCACCCTCTCCCTATTCCTGATGGTCCAGGTGAGTCGGTTTCCATTGACTTCACGGACATGGGAAAGAAGAGCAGAAACGGTTATTCACAAGTAATGGTGATCGTCGATCGTTTTTCCAAATTTCTGAATCTAATCCCATTACCACCTCATGCACCAACTGACCTTGTGATTGAAGAATTTAACAAAAGGTACATTCCGCAGTGCGGGCCCCCGAAGACGCTTGTGAGCGATCGGGATATCAGGTTCATAAGTGCAGATTGGAAAGAATTCACCTCCCAGACCTATGACATGAAACTCAAGATGACGCCTGGTCGACACCCCGAAGCCAATGGACTGGCCGAGGAGATCAACCAGACCGTGATCCAACTTCTCAGGGCTCTTATCGTGCCTGACCAGAACTCTTGGGATGAGGAGTTGCCGATTGTGCAGGGGTTGTACAACAACTCCGTCCACTCTTCCACCGGGATGACGCAATCCCCTATCCTATCTGTTCCCTATCCTATCTGTTCCCGGAACAGCCACCTGGCCTAACACCTGGCCAGCCAGGCTACAGTGCTAAGTACGATCGTTTGCTTAAAGTCGCTATCGCAGCTATGGAAAGGCGACGCAATGCTATGATTAAGCATGCAAACAAAAAGCGCCAGCCTGACCCCTTCACCCTGGGAAGTTATGCCTGGGTCAAGATGTCTGAGTTTTCTGAAGAAGCAGGCGTATCATTGAAACTTCTTCCTCAGTACTACGGTCCCTGGAAGGTGCTGAGCCGAGTAGGTAATGATTCCTTCGGTCCTTCCTACACGATTGATGTCCCTGCTCATCTGCGCACATACCCAGTCTTTCACGCATCAAAGTTATTTCCGTATGAGCCGCCTGAGACGTTCAAGTACTGGGAATCGATGATTCCTCGCGCAATCAATGACGGTCACGAGGTTGATAGGATTGTCGAGCACAGTGGGAAGGGAAGAAACAGGCAGTATAAAGTACATTTTCTATACCATCCACTGAACGATTTCTACTGGATTGCTAAGAAGGACTTACTGCAGTGTGCACGACGCGTTGTTAACGTCTATGAACGATTGATCAGTTCGGAACGCAACCAAAATTCATTGCTACCCTCACTTCTACGGAACACACCCGATCTCTCTTTGCTATCTACGCCTACGATGCATTGTGCAAGGACTCTGATTGAGTTACTCGCTCGAAGGGACCTCGCTCTTGAGGGGGGGGTAGTGTAATGACCTGTCAAAACACAGACTGAGAACACTACTGATTTCTGAAGTTATGTCGATGGAATGGATGCCTTGCTGAGATTCCCGCATTCTGCTGTGTTTTCTAAGTCTGTTTGTGTGTGCGTGCTTGTGACCTGCGTGCCTGTCTGAACACTGCTG